CGCGTCCCCGCTGGGGCCGAAGGAGCGCTCCACCGTGTCCCCGCGGGGGGCAGTTCCCCCCCATCCCTCCCCCTGCCGTCCCCTTTCGGGGCTGCGGGGTGGTCACCACCAGCAAACTCCCGCTCACTCCCACCGCCAAAAACAAAGCAGCAGCAGCCCCCGCACCCCCAGGGCTCTTCCTGGCGGTGAATTGTGAGACAGGATGGGAATTCCGGTTTTATTCCCTATCTCTGCCCTCTAGTGCTGAGCAGGCTACTCCAACCAACCCAGCGTGTCGCTTCTGTCTAGCGGTGCTTAAATGCGCACCCCGTCCTTCCTACGAGCTGCGATGGCAATGTGGGTTTGGGGGGGACAAAAGCTCGGACGGTTGAAGTTGCCGGCTTTGAGACGGAACCTCGGGGTCACCGTGCCACGCAGGGAAGGTTCTCAGTCCCATGTGTTCGCAGCCACGCTGGGAATCCTTCACGCCGAGTGCCTTGGTTAACATCAAATGCCACATCTCCGTCCTCTCCGGCTACGGAAACACCGAGACAAGCACGAGGGCTTTGGGAGTACCAGCTTTCCAAGTCTCAGCAGCTGAAAAAAGCAGATTTCTTTGGGCTGCAAAAACCCCTTTGGATCTCTTTGGGCTGTTGATTCTAATGAAAAGGCTTAAGAATGACTTTAGGACACCTCCGTGATCTGGGCTGCCCACTGCAAGCGGACATGCTCCAGAGAAAGAACGGGACACTGGAAAATCCTCAAGGTCACTTGTGAACCGGACTCTCATGACTCCCAGTCCTGAAACGCCTTGATTTTCTGAGATGGTCAAAACCACCTTGTCGATGTCCTTGTTTCTTTGCTCCGATTCCCAAACTGGGCTGCTCCTGCACCGACTGACAGCCACGAGCTCTGGGAGCCAGGGCCGTGCGTAGCACCAGGAGGTTCTGAGCAGATCCTGCCGGGGAGCACTACTCCAACGCTGATGCTCCCTTCTGAGTGCGCTCCCGCTTTGAAATGTGCTGTGAATAGAAATCAGGGACACTAGTTCCCATCCTGGTGCCTCCTCTGCAAGACTGGCTTTCTTCCAGACAGGGAACGAGCGGGAAAACGCTGGAGAGGAAGGTCTTCCAGAGGATACGGTGACCTTGCGGTGAGACTGGCTGCTCTGTCTGCCTCTTGTTGGCAGGAGGAGTCCCATACCCTTCTGTCTCTGCTGGCAACGGGCTCCTCGCGCACTTGTCAGCACCCACCTCGCGCTGCAGGGAGGGTGGCTTTCTGTCAGCAATTACAGCTTCCCAGGGACCTTTTTCCATCATTCCACCAAAGCCTGTGCCCCACTGTCCGCTCTCGGAGCAAGGCCCGGCGTGCGTTACCCTAGACAAGGGCTGGGGATCGCCGACCCGCTCGGAAGTCGATGTGCAGGGGTCAGCACCAGATGTTCCTGAGGAAGGTGTGCGAATCCCATTGGGGGTGACAGTAAAATGACCGTTTCCTACCTGCTAAGGGTATTTTGTGCCCAGATACAACTCCATGGGACTAAAGGCATCGTTTAGAACCCAGGTACGGCGATGAAACAAACGATACAGAGCTACAATGGGTGACATGTTGCACGAACAGCGACCACCTTGGCCAAGAGTCGGTGATCAATAGCTGGCTTTGGATATGGCCCAAACATCTTTTTCCCCCTGGATGTAAGGGGTATTAAGCTGCAAAGCATTTAAAAATCCTTTCACGGTTCACCATTCAAATAAATGTAGCAACTCTAATAAAGGACCAGTTCCACTTTCTCCAAACTTTCATTGCTCTATTGATGCAAAGCGGACCTACGGGAAAGCAGGTGATGATGTTGGCTCAGCCCCTTTTCTCTCTCAACAGCTAACAGCAGTGAGGGTGACCCAGGGTTGGTAGCAGCTCCCTCTCCTCATTCCCGCTGTGGCCCCCAAGGAAATGCCACACACTGCTTTCCCTTTGCCTGCTCTCAGATTCTGTAAGCCCAAGGCACTCACGTTAAAACGTTAGCTGGCATCATCTGTGACTCAGGTGCTGCCTCTATCAAGGACTGCCAAGTGTTTGTGGAGTTAGGGATCACAAAACCGAACTCAAAGAACCATTCTGCAAAGTAAAAAAGAAGATCCAGAGGCATTTGAAAGAAGATAAAACCCACAAATGGTCCTTTTGCTTTTTCACCTGACCGGCTGGGGAACTCCCTAAACCCTCCTGCCAACATTTTACGTCTAGATTACTCTGTACAGCTTCACGTGGAGGGAAGCCTGCCCTCCTCTGCAAGCAGATACTCCCTTTCTGAAATAGCTGATGGTAACGATAAAGTCACACCACTTCCTTAGCATTCCGGGGAAATGCCACCACACCTCACTGGGAACAGGGAAACCACGCTCCCCCTCTTGCAGACACCCCCCAGCTCCAGCTGAGACTCAGTGTGCAACCGGCTGCCCCGCAGAGAAGGAGCTCGGTGTGTTATCTCCCCCTCCTTCACCCCAGAGGAGTAGCACTGCGCTCAGATGTGCAGCTCTGGAGTCGCAGGGACAACACCCGTCGGCACTGCTGTCACCTCGGTAAACCCCAGGCTCCTCCAGCCGGGTGGCCAGCTCTAGGTGCTTCGGAGGAATCCCTGAATCCCCATCATGGGTGACTCAAATAACCTGTTTCCTCGCCTCAGGCAGCCTGCGGTGGATTTATGCCCTGAAGCATGATTACCCCGATTTTTTGCTTACATAACGAAGTGTTAATACACTTATGAAATGCTATCCCTAATGCTCTGGCCCATTAGTCCTGACGAGGGCTTCAGTGCTACTCTGAAAAATTAAAATCGCCACGTTCAACCCATTTTAGCTCCCCTAATCCCCGCCGCGCTGGGGCTCAGTCCCTGCGCTGCCGTAGGGCTGCACGCGGGGCAGAGGCGTACCTTCTAGACACTGCCCTTTGAAATAGACTTTCTGTTCCAGTCGGAATTTTTCCATTTGTTCTGCTGAGGAAAAGTTTAGCTCTCGAGACACCGCTTTGCACTTCAGGATTTTTTTAGGAACTCGAGCTGTGAAACATAGAAAGAAGCATTATTTGGACACAATAAAACAAACTCAGCTGCTTCAGGTGCTATTATAATATACTTTAAATAATCATAGAATCACAGAACGGTTTGGGTTGGAAGGGACCTTAAAGACCATCCAGTTCCAACCCCCCTGCCATGGGCAGGGACACCTTCCACTAGACCAGGTTGCTCCAAGCCTCATCCAGCCTGGCCTTGAAGACATCCAGGGATGGGGCATCCACAGCTTCTCTGGGCAACCTGTCCCAGTGCCTCATCAACTTCTCCGGGAAGAACTTCTTCCTGATATCTGATGTAAACCTCCCTGCTTTCAATTTAAACCCATTCCCCCTTGCCCTGTCACTACAGGCCCTTGTAAAAAGTCCCCCCCAGCTTCCTTGTAGCCCCTTCAGGTACTGGAAGGCTGCAATAAGGTCTCCCAGGAGCCTTCTCTTCTCCAGGCTGAACAAGCCCAACTCTCTCAGCCTGTCCCCACAGCAGAGGGGCTCCAGCCCTTGGAGCATCTTCGTGGCCTCCTCTGGACTCGCTCCAACCGGTTAACCATGATCAGTGCCAGCACAATGTCACAGCAGCAGGAGAGATGCAAATACAAAGGACTTTGGTTTTACATTTGCAGGAGTGAAATCCAAGATGCAAATAGGTTTCGGTACCTTGCCCAGAGCCAGGAAACAAACATGACAGAACCAGGGATACAACACTGATCTCTCAGACTCCTGGTTCTTAGCTGTTTATTACTAAACCCCACAATTGTTCAGTCAAAATATGAGATGCAGCTTAAACTTTTACTCTGGGAAGAGTGCTGAAGATGACGAGCAGCCAAAGGGCTGCTCAGTACCCCCAGAGTGTCAGCCCTTCTCACTTCCCCTTCCCTCTCAGACTGTGCAGCCCCAGCAAACCACAAACAGCCATTTCTCTGCCCAGAAGCTGTTTCAGCCACCTCACCGCAGCTCCGGGCGGGCGTCCTGTACCAGCACGCACAGTGTCCCTTCCCCAGAGATCGACACCCACACAGGCAGTAAAACCGGTACCAAACTGGAGAGCTTGAGAGAGACAGCAGCTCGGCAATGCAAGGTGTCTGGGGTCCTGCAGCGGGTGAGACCCCAGCAGGCACACCGTACCTGGTAGATAGTGCCTAAGGCTTTTTTTGGGGCTGGAGGAGTAAGAGAAGGGACAGTTTGGGAGCACTGATTAATACGCTGCAAGGCCCTAATCAGGAGAATACGGGGGGAGTCACACTTGAGTGGTGTGACTGTACATCATCCTTCCTGCCCATCAGAAAACGTCCCAGGTACATTTATTAGAAACAAAGAGGGGAGGGAATGCAGCTGGCACGTGCTTTATGAGCCAAACGGTTCCTAAAGCGTTATCAGAACGGCCATGGGCAGCCAGCAGGTTGCTGTTCGGTGAAAGGAGGGTTTGCCAAACCCCAGGCAAACCCAGCTAACGTACAACAGTTTAATTAATGGAGCAGGACCTGCTACGGGACCAACGCAGAGAGCTGGAGGGTCAGGGAGTGTGAGCTACCATCCCGTCCCACGGAGAAGTACACAGTTTGTTTTAAAACAAACAAACAAAAAAGGTAAAAATTAAAGTTAAAAGTGTAAGGAAGGAGTTTTAAATGTAAAAGCTCTCTAATTACTTTTAGTCCCTTTTTTTTCCAGCAGAGAAATCTGCATGGCACCATCCTACTGCCCTCCCGAGTAAAGACTACAGCCTGTTGTGAATAAACATCCCCTTGCAGCCAAGAGTAAAATGACTTGTTAAAACTATTCTGCAATTTAGTAATTACATTTCTTTCATCCCCCAGACAAACTCCTGAGAACGTTTGCTTTCGTATTGTAAAACTACAAAATAAAAGGTTACTTTTAATAGAAGTAGGACTGTGTAGTCTTTAAACCCCTGATCTAAGAGATTTTAATTGATACTTATACCATCAAGCAGAAAATGTTAATTGAACTTATTTACCTTAGACTCATTGTACTTTTATACCTCTTTATTTTTTCTCATTAAAAAGGGAGAAGAGAGGGAAGTTTGACTCTCATCAGTTAGGACTCTTTCCGTGCAGGTAAGCGCAGTCCGTATCCCACATTTAGCAGTGGGTTTTGTTAACGCAACGGTACACCACACCTGCACGTTTATCTAAGCACTTGCAGCTAAAATATATTTCATCAGATACTTAATTCTGATTAGATTAGAAAGCGATGAATGACACATTTCTGATTTACTAAGCAAGTCATTTTGGGTCCAATCGCGTTTACTTAGAAACCGAAATTCAACTACTATTATCATTATGTTTTCATGCCGCTTAATAAAACTACCTTAAATATCTGGGGTATGTAAAAAGCAAGCTATCTTAGCCAAACATTTTATGTTTCAAATGATGTCGTTTCTCAGATAATGAAAGGATTATGTGCATTTCCTGAATGAAAGCTGGCTGTGGTGGCTGGGAACAACGCTGGGGATTCTCCAAGCGCTAGATCTCAGCAGCTTACTCCAAACTTTGCTGATGTATTGGAAGAAACCAAAGTTTATGGATTTGTACCTCCCAGACTGCCTCCCAGTTCCGAATGCACTGTCACTGAAGGGAGCTCATGGGGTACACGGACAGGGTGCTGTTGTCAAAAGCTGGTTGAGATGGTTAACCCTGGTTTCGGGTGCTCAGGGGGTGATTTTCACCACCTTCAGCAGTTTAATGTTAAGACTCCGGCAGCAATCTAATATCACATTAATATGATTTTTATTTAATCTAAGTGGTAAGAGTAGGTTTAGGTATTTGTCCGAAACGTGAGTTAATTTTCTGAAGAAACCCATGCTCGTATCAAATAGAGGTCCTGTTTAAAAGGCAAACAGAAGTCGTGTTTAAAAGAAACACGTTTTATCCACTCTGCTACGCATGTGATTCTTTGCTTGCCATGTCTAGACCCTGACTTGCCCTCCATGGCCACGGAACACACACAAAGACACCATGTAATGACTTTGAGACACACATGGCCTCCACCTTAAAGCAATTACTCTGGCTGTCTGCCCTCCCCATTTCTGTGGCAGGATTGTACTGGAACTGCATTTCCCCCCGCACCCCCATGACCAGATCATCCTCCTTTGCTGGCCACCTCTCCCCTTTCCTAGCCCATTTATTGAGAATAATCGACCCATCTCAGCCTTCTTTCCTTGCTAAGCCATACAAGACTGGTTTTTTTCCTCTCTTCTCCTAAGGAAGACCATCCTCCCATCCATAATCTCCCCAGTGGCTTCTCCTAATAGCTCTTCTCCGCCCCTGTTCCGTTTGCAGCCATCCGTCTTCTAGATGGATGACTGAACTGCACACCAGGTAAGGTCTTAATAATCCCTTGTACAACGGGCATTAATCTCACGCCAGAGTAGGGTTTAATTAACTCCCCAAGCTCCTCTGATGGAGGTGAGGGTTCCTGGTTTATATGTGAGGAAAATGTGAGGCACAGTGAGGTGATACCATCTGCCAAAGCGAGAAAGGTGGGAGGAGGGAAATGGGGCAACCCAGCAACCCCCCCTGAGACACCACAGCGGCTGTGGCCTGACGCCTTGTTTCTCCCAAGTCTCCTGTTACACAGTTAGTTCAAGAAGGCAAAGCAAAACGAACCCGCAGGTTTAGAAGTTTGTTATTAAACTGATGAATTGCTGCGTTTCTTTTGGTAGCTGTATTTCAAGTGCTTTCCTACAGTTGTATTTGAAGGTGCTGGAATGTCTTCCTTTAATACAGGTATGAGAACAGGAGTGCAGGTTAGCAAGGCTGAAGGAGACAACGCTCAGAAAACGCTCTCAGTCATCATGGAGTCCCAGCTCTGCTTTGCTCTAGCTCTGACCCGCACCCTCTGTTCCTGGCACCAGGACCCTCTTAAGCTGGGACAACCCACTACTGGTCCCAACAATGAACTCCTGTCATAAAGCAGATGCATGTTGACTGGGGACCGAATGAGGAGAAGGCAACTTGTTGTTTTGCACCCTGAGCTGGCTCTGAAACCAGGTTTACTGCTGGGAGGATGCTGGACTAGCAGACCTTCTGTACATTTTCTGGGCAGAGGAGGGTCTTGATCTGCTAGTTGACTCCATCAGATACAACAGCTCTCCCAATTTATGGGAGAGGTTAAGCCCTAGTAGTGCCAGGCAGAACTCAGTCCTTGATGTTTAACCAAAAACAGATTAATGTCACCAGCATAATTAAATGATCAGGTTTACTCCACTTACTGGAGACCTGCCGTGTGGTACTCACGTAACAGAGAAGCCTTCACAATTAGTTCAGTGAGGTCAGACTCGGCACAGAGCCCAAGAGAAGCTCTTGGCCAGGAACGTTACCTGTCGCAGTGCTTTGTCACAAATGGGGCAGAGTAAGGGTCGGTGAAGTCCACCTGCTGCCCAGCCCGGACAGAAGGGGAAGGGCAGCCGGACCTCCCGGCAATGGTAGAGGGGCAGGAGAGCAGGGCGGATGTGCCACGTACGCCGTTTTAAAGCCAAGGCCAAATTTAGTGCAGGAGAATATTATGAGTTGTGTCCGGGCAAGGTAATAGCTGTGTCTGCTTCTTCCCCACTGGTTCTTCAGTTGGCCTCTACCTCGGCTAAACCCTCTTGTTATCCTGAGAAAAGTCAGTACTTCATTTTGGAACTGACACCTGACCTACAAAGGTTGGCCACTCATTCCTTAAACAGCTTACATTCCTTCCATTCCTTCCTTGTCTAGCTTGTCCCCTTTGCCAGCCACTGATCCACTCCCGCCCTCCTCCACCTGTCCCCAGGTTATTGTGGTGGGAGCCTCTGCAGCTGTGAAGTCACGGCCAGGACATTTGTCCTTCAAAGCAGGGGTACGCTCCCGGCTCTGGTGACCCAGACTTACAGCACCACCCAGCCCAAAATGCACAGCAAAGCCCCAAAATGCACAGCAAAGCCCCACGGTACCTTCATGCTCCACTCCAGGTACAGACAGATCTTCTGTTCCTTGCCAGAGGATTTTCCCTGTTTCTGCATCCCGAAGGTTCATCCAATTTCTGATTGGGAAGCCATTAAGGAAAACAAACATCCCTCCGTGCTGCACCTACTGTTCTTTGCTACGTCCCAAAATAGGTTACTCCAACGGAGTTTCAGTCCTGTTTTCTGATCCTCAGGAGGCCAAGAGACGCTTTTTCCCAGTAAATAAACGAACAACCCACCCCTTGACCAGAACGAATGCAACGAGAGTTGTATAGCCACAGATGCAGTTTTCACTCTAGGCTGCAGCTTGCCAACCTCATTTATCATTTCCCATCGCCTGTAGAGGGGAAAGGCAGTGTCACTGGGCTGCCGAGAAGCAAGAACATCACTAACAGTCACAGAAAGTTCTACACAAACCATTGCTGTTCTCCAGCGTTTGAAAAATGCTGGGAAAAGAAGCACTTCCTATAGAACCTCAGAAAAACACCCCCTCAAGTTTGCTTTCCTAGTTTACAAAATATTACTATCAAGGGTGGTTCTGTGGCTGTTGACCTGGTAACTGCCCTTCACGGGAACTCTTTGGGTGCTGAGCAAAGAGCGATCCTCTCTTTCCACTCCCCACAGGTGAGGCCGTGCTGGCTCCCAAAAAGCTCAGAGCAGTGAATCAGTCATTAAAGCCACAGGCAGGTGGGAAACACATTTTCAAAGGGACAATTAATAACGATTTAAGCACACCTTATAAAACCAGAGCAGGATCTGTGCAAAAAGGCCGCGCAAACCAGCGCCTTCCCAGGCGTCCCCTTTGCCTGGTTTAGGGCAGTGCATGCTCCATGCTCAGGATTTTCTAGACATGACCCTGGAAACTATCTGGGAGGAGAGAGCAGCGGCTTACGGAACTGACTGGGCAGGTAGAGTAGCAGAAGAGGGGCGATATGGAGCTTGAGGTAGGTAAATAGGCGCTGTCAGAGATATGCATACTGAATTCATCCTCTAAGACACAGTTTCCAGGCAGACTCACACATATTCGTAATTTTTCCAGAGCTTTGGAAAGAAACAGATGCTTTTTTAGCAAATTTTGCATTTCAGGGTAACATTTGTTTTAAAATTACATGAGTGGAGGAGGGAAGGGAAGATGCCCGCTTCAGGGCAGATGTGAGGAGCCTTTCCCTTCCCAAAGGCTGGCCAGACTTCCCATGTCTCGCTGAAAGGGCAAGAGGGAGGAGAAAGGTGGGAATGCACGCACAGGGTCCGTTAACACAGGCACGGCCTTACAGCTTCCAAAACTTAGCAACACCTTGGAGCACGGGAAGGGGGAGCGTAGGACAGCCTGCTCATCTCCTTCTGGACTTGTTCTAAAACACATGATGTATACTACTTCTTCTGGGATGAAGGCAGGAGGGAAATGGGGAAAGATGGAATGCATCATCCTCGGAGGGCCCCATATGCCACCTCCGTGTCCGGGCAGAAAGCTGGAAAGCGGAGATCTCTCCCTAGCTACCAAACTAAGGGAGAGGGGGGCTGTAGCAAGCGAGTCAGAGAAAGAAAAGGAGCAGCAGCATGGCAAGAAGAACCTGCAGCAGGGCTGGGGGCTGGCGCTGGCTGGAAAACTCCCAAGTCCCCAGCCAACGCAACCCGCAGGATGGAACCGCCCCGACCATAATAGAGAACGTCCCCAAAAAATCCACCGTTTTTAGATACATCTTCCCACAGACAAACATAGCGACTAGCCAGGGTGAAGCTATTTGCATAGAAAGCAGCGTGCAATCTATCAAATGCCATGAAGGAGGGAAAAACAACGAATGAGACAATCTGAGCATCTCGCTGACAAATTAATTTATCTCCACAACACCTTGCCCTACCAACACTCTTGACTATTATCAGTACAGTATTTCAGTAAATTGGGCACTTTATCAAAATCCTGGTTTACCTTTAAAACATGATCTCCTTCAGAAGTGTTTACTTGCTATCTGTTCACTACCAATGTCAGTGGGAATTATGAGCTCACAGGCCCAGCCATGGGCTGTGTGGTGCCAAACTGAGCAGTAGATGGGGACCTGGAGATGAAACACTAACCACAAGACCAAACCCAGCATTGAGCAGGAACTGAGCCAGCATCCCAAGTGCTATACCAGTACTCAGTGTTCAAGAGATTATTTAAAAAAAAATGTTTAAAAAGAAACAGGCATCTGAAAAAATTCCTAAGCCACAATCGAGATAATTTATACAACTTAACTGTAATGGAATTAAGAAAAGTACATCTTTCATTTTCCTTGCCATGCCTCGCCTTACCTTCCCGTCCCTCTTCCCTCAGCAAGTTTTGGAGTATTCCAAAATCACATTTGCCATTTTCAAAAGGGTTACATTAGAGGTGCCCTTCAAAGAGTATAGGTAGCCTGACAGCTTAGTCATTATCCTGACTTGAAATACATAGTTACGGTGACCGACTATTTCTGGCGAGAGAAAGCACCACCGTAGATTACTGACCTCTGCTGCTTCTCCCTGTAAGGATTTATCTCTCGGTCCAGCCCAAGAGAGATGACACAAGTTATGTTGCCACACTGAACAAGGCTAGATATGTTAACATGTGGAGTGTTAGACTCCTACAAAGTGCCATCAGACTTTATCCTGTATTGAAGTTCTACTGTGAGAGTAAAGCCTGTCCCGTGCTTTGTATTCTGTCAAACTAATGAGGAATCAACAACAAGCTCGAGACTACAGCCCTGTTGAGAAGAGCAAGCAGGTCAGCAATGCGTGTCCCTTCCTAGAAAACATCTTGTATTTAAACAACCTGGACATCGCTAAGACAGGTAAATCCCACGCCAAATGAATAAAGGTTTAGTGTCAGTGTAGCCAAAGGCTTTCTGGCCTAGGCAGATGCATGGGCAGGTTCACAGCATGCTTTTCCAACTTCTGCAAATAAAGAACCCTCTGCTATTCAGAGGGTATACTCAGAGTTAAAATATGTGCATCCAGACATTTCAAGGGATCAGAATGCTCCAGCCAGTTCACAAGTGTTTGTGAACTGTGTTACTTGTTTCACAAGTAACTCAGCATTATTAAAAGGGAAGAACAAATCATCAAATCTTAGAAGTGCACACACACAATCCTCTTAGAAAACAATAAAAACACTTAATGTTCAAGAGATTATTTTAAAGAAAATGTTTAAAAAGAAACAGGCATCTGAAAAAATTCCTAAGCCACAATCGAGATAATTTATACAACTTAACTGTAATGGAATTAAGAAAAAAAAAGACAAACCCCCTCACAAGTGACTTTTTTGGCAAGGGAGTACCTGACAAAGCAGCGGCTGTACTGCTTACCTAGTTAGCAGCTTATCACACTATTTCTGTCATCTTGGACAGAAAGGCTGGTACTAGGACATACCCCAGAGTGAAGAAAATGGAGATCTTGAACCAAACCCACACACACTGTTATCTTCTAATGTGTTTAATTGGTTTAAGATTCTTCCATCCCAGCATGAGAGATATTGTTACTAAAAATAAAAAGTGCTCCATCTTCCGAGCAGCAGTGGAGACCTGCAGGCAGGATGAAGAGGGCATCCTGAGTATTACTGAAAAGGAGAAAGTAAATGAATGTAGGTTTAACACAATTACTCTTTTTGAAGAGGCTCATGTCAAGCCACCTGGCAGGGGTAGTTAAGGAGAGCAAGTGGAGAGCAGTTACAGCTGTGTGAAGTTAATATGTATTAACATAAAAGGAAGAACAATAGGATATTCCTAACTCAGCTTCTCATTCTAAAATCACAAGAACACTCTTAGACCATTAAATTTTCATTCTCCTGGATTTTGGATTTTTTTTCTAGGAAACAATGTCTGATTTAAGACTCAATAGATCAAACACTCCGCAATCCTGAAGGCAAGGAAGGATTAGGAGGAACAGCAGAAGGAAGGGTGTAGTGTTGATCTATTTATATTCCACCACCTATTGGGTCAGCAAAGTCTTACATAAAAGCTTTGTAGTAGCTGGAATTTGACTTGCTTTATATACATGGCATGAATTAGCTTCCTCACAGAGTACTCCCCTTAGCCTGATGCAGGGAAATGGTTTGTCATTTCTAAGTCCAAGTTCTGTTGTCTTGAGCACTTCTGATCTCAGAACAGAAATTCATTCTTTTTTTGTACCTGCCACAGACCTCACTTTGTTCACCTAAATCACAATACACAGACTGATCTGTAAGTGCTTTACCGCTGCAAAAGATTCCCATGTATTACCACACCAGGGATTAAGAATAACTTTAAAGGAAGAGAATGAGTAAAAACAACATTAATTATTGAAGTAGCATGGAGTTAAAGGAGTTCTGCCCCAATCTCCCTGGCTGTTGTTGTATGTTGCAGTGTTTGAGTATCTCAAAGGCTGTAGCAAACAGTAGGTGTCATTTCTTCCATTAAAATGGTCCATTTTTCATTTTATTCCTCGCTGTCTACACCATTCTGAAACCTCAGGAGCTGCTGCACTCTTATCTCCCATCATACAAGCAAGCCTAACGCTCATCACTGCTCCTGGAAGGGAAGATCTTTCATCATCTTTGCCAGCTTTTTTTTATTTGTGCATGAAATGCACCATGAAGCACAGCTCACTGCATACCAGGTGCCAACAGGTCTCCGCAATTACGTGGTAATAGGAATTGTCCTATGGGATGAATGACACAGAGAAGGTGGAAGAGAAATCCCTCAACAATTCAGACTTACATCTCTGTTGCAGATCCGGAGAAGCTTCTGATCTGGATGGTCACCCCGCATTTGACATTGTCTGTCATCAAGAGTCACAACCAGGCACTCAGGACATGGGCAAGCACATTGCTTTAAAGAATGCTACAGGTAAGTAAAGATCAACCTGCAAGGATTATAGTTTTATTAGACATATTTTTCCAGAACACTTGAATCCCGGTTGTTTCAATCGGTCTGAGCAGTAAGGACCAAAATCAGTTAGCAAACCAGCTGCCAGCCTACAGGGTTACGAAGGAGACCACCCAAACAGCCGTATGCTTCTACTCCTCTCATGCCATTTGTCCTCTAGTCTTTCCAACCTCCAATCTCATTTTCTATTGCAACTCCCAAATCCCTC